CCTCACCTCGATTTAGATAAACCCCTCCCCCACCAACACTAAATTGATAGAACTACGTAGATACTTGTAGGCCTAGCTTACACGTCTTATATAGCCTACCGGCTGAGACAGGACGTTAATCAACAAATAAAAAAATGGGGCGGCTAACCCGGTTACGTAGCTGGTTCGCTTGCCGTGCGCATGGCTTACTTTCAAGCAAGATATAGTTAAGACTTTTTGCACACACATGCCCAAATTATGACTTACTAGGAAAATTGCTCACTATGCCACCACACGTGCCATCCTTTGGCTACCCATGGTGTTACATACCTCCTCACTTCGAGTGACATTTGACAGGGTCCACAGACCAAGACAGCGATCCTATGACCTGGCAAATCTTCAAAAGCACCGTCCACGATACTCTCCCAGTCTAGTTGTTGGCTGCTGCGCGTCTCTAAAACCTGTACTTCATCACCAAGCGCCTCCCCTGCTCCAGAATATACAGTCGTTTCTTTTCTATCTCGCACAGCCCAAATCATGCTAACATCAACGCACATCTCCTGTCGAATGCGTCTGTAGATCGGCAGTATAAAGGTGGCACCAACCCCTCCTGCAAATAGCAGTACGTAATCGAATGAAGCTTCCGAGAACTCCGGGAAATGTAGAGCTGATCCATAAAGCCCCTCAAGACTTATCAAGATCTGTCGCGACTCCGCATCGCTTATGGCACTCGTATGACACGGATTTGTGTGCGCAAGATGCGCCAAAGTCCTCGTCATCGGACCATGCCGCGGGCGAGCCAAGATAGTGGCAGTACCTGTGGTTATGTCGAAACTTTCTACTGTGAAAGGATTTGAAATGAAACCACTGGAGGTCCATTTGGGGCGTGTAGGTTCCAAGAGGCCAACATAGACATAAGCGCCAGGTTGCCATCGAAATGACTTAATCTTTTCTGGCGGAATGATGGCAGATATCCTAATCAAGTTTGCGCCTGGCAGTGGCTGGAGCAACGCCTTCGTCACAATAGACCATCTCTTCCGAATGACGAGATCAACCAAGTAATATGTGAGTACCTCCAAAACGTATAGGCGGGCATGTTCGGTGTGGAAATAAAGCAAGGCCGGCGATACTAAGCTGAAGGCGATGTGTGTTGTGAGAAAAATACGATAGGAGAAGTGCCTGACAGCACGTAGGCTTGTCGTGTTGACCAATATGAGCACGAGCAACAAGACCAGACCAATCACTACTACAGCAGTGGAAAGTTTCTGGAACAAGATGCCCTGACTCTTGAAATAGACAAGGTAGAGAGAACCGTGAAGTAGCCACAAGAGACTTATAATGTGTCCGAGCATTCGGTGCCAGCGGTTTAGTTCCTCGTGGGACAATCCAAATACCCGGGCGTACGGATTGAAAGATCTCATACCCAGGAGGTATTGTGCCGGGAGCTGGGAAGTTGCAATAATACCGAATCGCCTGGCCAGATGGATAACATCTAGACTTTCTTAGCCGCTAAGTCTTTAGTGTTGATTGTTGAGATACCCACCGTTTCCGGTACTGAGAAAGCACAAAAACGCCAGCCACGCGAACCACACCGAGCCAAAAATCCAAACGTCTCGACGGCCCCAAGTCTCACCATGAATAACGATATAGTGCCCGAGCCACCATGTAATTCTTTGATAAGGCCTCAGTCTTTTCCGTAGGAAGCGCTGCTTGGTTTCTTTAGCCAATAGGGTTTTCGATGATTCCGGAGACGCGTCCACGTGCCCCGCGCTTGTTCGTTTACCAACAGTCCTGGCAAGGACTCTAACACTAAAATGCGTGAAACGGTAGCATAGCCATACCAGCGGAACGACCAGTGTTGAGAGATGTGCGTAGAGAGGGAATGTATCCAAAGACTCACGACGAGCGCGCTGTTCAACATCTGAAAGCGATGTGGATCCATATGGCTTGGCCATATCGAGGAGGCATGCAGACACAGCATCGAGACGTTAAGCTGGACCATTTATATGCAAATCAAGTTGCAGCGTGGTGACGTTGGCGACCGTGCTTACCAGTACGTTTAGTTTGCAAGTCTAAGTCCGTCCCTGTGTGACGAAAAACCCCGTGTGCCGAAAATAGCCAATCGGATCACTAGGGTCGAAGAGAAGTCCCTGATCCCTGCGATCCGATTGGTCATTTTCGGGACACGGGGTTTTTCGTCACACAGGGACGGACTTTTTAGCTTTTTTCTACGGGAGCCGAGCACGGAAACATGATGCGTTAGCTTGGCTCGGACCAACATGGAAGAGACCAGGGTTTTTGACGGTTCCCACATCCGACGACTAGCAAACCTATCATCGCCGTCATCATTCCGTACCAGTTAGGCGTGTTCAACCAATGCATTCAACAAGGATAGTCTGCATTCATAAGTTTTCCGTGCGGAATATGTAGATGACCGGGGCTAGGGACGGGGGCTTTACGGAGAAACGATGTCCTTCTATCATGGAGATGGTGACATTTGTTACCCTATTGCCCAGAACCACCACGCAGAATCTCAACATCCTCTTTTCAAAGTCGCCTGTTATGGCCGACCGTTGCCTGAATGACGAAACATTGGGCCCGGCCGTTATTGGTTGTCGCGGCGACTTTGACTTCACCCAAAGTTTTGCAGCTGTTGTGTTGTCCATCGTTCCAGTGGGCATATTCCTTCTTGTTGGTCTTTTGTGTCTATCCAGGCAGTGTTTTGAATGGACTGGTACTCGTGCCTGTTCTTCTGACGTCCGGTCGAAGGCCGGTATCTTTTTTTATGCTCAGCAGGTATGATACTAGACAGAAATTGCGATTTCTCTGGTTTGAATAGCCAATGCTGACTTGCAATCAGACAACTATCCTTCTTCTTGTAGGCGCAAAGGTTGTATACCTTGTGGCTATTGCAGCATCACACAGTCTTGAACCTAGGCCTGTTAGCATCGTCTCGGCTGTATTGGAGCTTTTCGCTGCTGTATTGATGAGTCCGCTGGCACTATGCAAACGCAGTTGGTCCAGGTATCCATCGGATCTGCTGTGTACATTCCTTGCCATCACACTACTTTTCGACGGTGCCCGTTGTCGTACCTTGTGGCTCCTAGAACAGTCAGACGGCCGAATTTTAGCCGTTGCTGTGTCATTCACGATATCTCTCTTTATCAAGATGGTTCTCTTGTCGCTCCTTGCATCACAGAGCAAGGCACAGAGATCTGAATACACAGATTCGAGGATTTTCAGTCCAGATGTCACCGCCAATGTGTTCAGTCTTAGCCTGTACTGGTGGCTGAATCCGCTTCTCCGTCTTGGTTCTCGTCGGGACATAGGGCTTGGCGATTTGTACCCTCTGGACCCTGCACTTGGGTGTGCAAGGCGAGCTGCTGAAGCACCGACAAAACATAGAACATTGTATGAATCTATGACGACTCAGAAGTTACTTTATCGATCCATGGGTATGAGCGGCTTATATCCTGTCCTTCCCCGTCTTATCATGATCGCATGTACAATCGCACAGGCCATTCTCATCCACAGGATTCTCACCCTACTTTCCCACAGCCCAGACGATACCAATCCCAATACGAAGTACGGCCTAATTGGGGCTACATTTTTGGTCTACTCATGCACCGCTTTGTCGGCTGCCTGGTATGGCTACCTACATGAACGTGCCCTGACCCGGCTCCGCGGTTACCTGATCGAGCACGTCTACTTGCACTTAACCCAGATGCCATCGGTTGTTGAAAGTACCTCAAAGACATCTACGCTGATAGCGGTCGATGTGGAGACTATTTACAACGGACTGCGCAATGCCCACGAGCTCTGGGCTGTTCCTATTCAGATAGCGGTTGCAGCATGGCTGGCGTACCGCGAAATAGGCTTGGCCAGCTTGACGGCCGTCGCACTGATACTGGCCAGTTGCGTGACTATATTTGCCATCTCTCCGACGATAATGGCTCGGCAGGGTTCTTGGATGGCAACTGTTCAGTCTCGCGTCAGCATGACCAGCGCCGTCTTGGGCTCTATTAAGACCCTGAAGATCGCTGGGTTCTCTAGAGCGGTTAACATCATGCTCAAACAAGCTCGTGCCGACGAAATACACCTTGGATCTTACTTTAGACTCATGGTATCCATTTCAGCAACCTTTTCACTGGTCCCATCAGTGGTTGCGCCAGTGGTGGTTTTCGCCACCAACCCACAACAAGTGAATGCAGCGTCCGCCTTTACGACCCTGAGCTACTTGAGTATCATGACACAACCATTAATGACCGCCATTCAGGTGGTCCCCATGGTCTTGGCGAGCCTGGTTTGTCTGCGACGCATAAGGCAATTTCTTTTATTGCCAGTCCACGTCGATCATCGCCTTTTAGGGTCGCCTCTGAACACATTTCCCAACGAAAAGTGGAGCGACAGTGAGAAAAAGATGGTGGCGGTCGGCATATACAGCTCTTCTATCAGCTGGGCTCCTGATGTTAGGCCCGTATTGCACAACGTCAACGTCGAAGTGCTCAAGTCTACCTTCGCGGTCATCATAGGGCCGGTCGGTTGCGGTAAATCGACACTCATCCATGCGGTATTGGGTGAGATTCCTCCAAAAGATGGCGGTGTCATAACATTTCGTGCAAATCGTGTGGCATACTGCGCCCAGACTCCAATTCTCACCGAGGGCACTCTAAGACACAACGTGATTGGCTCCTTGCCCTTCAACAAGGAAAAGTACTCTGAGGTACTGGAGGCTACTGCACTTATGTATGATCTGCAGCAATTACCCCAGGGTGAAGCTACAAGACTCGAAACTGGGGGAGAGACCCTGAGTGGTGGCCAGAGACGTCGCGTGGCGCTCGCCCGCGCACTCTACCATGAACCTGATGTCTTGATAGCGGATGACGTCTTAAGCGGTCTCGACAAAAAAACGGAGCTGTTGGTTTTGGAGAAAGTTTTTGGTCCAGACGGCTTGCTTCGAAAGCGAGGTATTACCGTGCTGTTTTCCACCAACTCTGATCTAGTTGCAGGAACAGCAGACCAATGTATCCGCATCTCACCAGCCGGCGACGTAGCTACTCAACCCAACTTGAAACCCTTCTCGTTGGCTCGGAGCGTAAATTTCAATGGAGTAAAGACTAAGGATGCCTATCAAGGAATTACGGAAGACCTTGTTCGTAAGGATGCTGATAAGACAGTCGAAAGTATCACAGAGGATAGGGAAGAGCCTGATGTTCTGTGCCACCGGCCTACATCAAATGTGAGCTCCGACATGAAGACGTGGACTCGTTACCTCTCGGGTGTTGGCATACCTTCTATTATCCTCTTCTCTATCTTCGCGACGGGCTTCGGGGTTTGTATGGCCTATCTTACCGTCTGGGTTAGAGAGTGGATGTCTGACACTGCGTTCATACATTCCAGATCGTACTATTTGGGCATCTATGGTGGTATAGCCGTGGCTTGCGTCATTTCCAACCTTTTGATGGGCTTGATCGTGCTTGTCATCTTCGTCCGCAACGCCGGGACTACCCTACACGACGAGATACTCCAGACAATAATGACTGCCACCCTGCGTTATCTGATGCAGACCAACGTTGGCACCATCCTCACCCACTTTTCCCAAGATTTGACGATTGTCGATGGCCAGCTTGCAGGCGTTTTGGTCAATCTTGCAGCAACGACTACCATTACAATTGGACAGGCTGTGCTGCTTGTTGTCTCATCGCCTTGGATGACGATCAGCTATCCTGTCCTGTTGGTAATCTTGTATGCAACTAGACGGGTCTATGTGCCGACCTCAATTCGTCTTAGGTTCCTAGATCTCCAAAATAAGGGACCACTTGTCGCACATTCTCTAAACACCATACCAAGACTTCCAACGATACGGGCTTTCGGCACGGCTGCGTACGAAGTGATCCAAAACCAAGTCCTATGCGATAGATCGCAGCGTCCAAGCTACCTTCTAGGCTTGTCGCAACAATGGTTAATACTTGTGAATAATCTAGTTGTGGCTAGTTTAGCTGTGATCCTTGTATCCCTTACTACTTTTCTCCATGTAGACTCGGGATCCGCTGGTGTTGGGCTTGTTACTCTAATTACACTTAGCAGAAATTTGGCAGACTTGGTTCGCGCCTACACCATGGTCGAGATTTCGCTGGGTGCCGTCGCGCGCTTGAAGTCTTTCACTCAGGAGACGCCACGAGAAGAGAGACGTGCGGAAAGTGTAGCAATCAGCGAGACATGGCCAGAAAGAGGGCTGGTGAAGATAGCAAACGCAAGTGCGAGTTACAACGGCTTCTCAGATCAGAAGTCCTTAACCCTTCGCGAAATCTCTTTCACGGCTTTGCCGGGTGAAAGAGTCGCGATCTATGGAAGAACAGGAAGGTAAGTGTCACACTCTCTACATTCCGACCGCTTACTGGTTTTGAACTGATCACTCTTTTTGGTTATGTTGTAGTGGAAAAACATCCGTCCTTATGATGCTTCTGAGACTGTTGGATCCTATCGAGGCATCTGCTGGTAATACTTCTATCGACGACATTTGCATTGATCAGCTCGACGGAACGGTAGTTAGGGAACACGTAATCTCGATGTCGCAGGAAACCGCTTTTTTACCACAAGGGACAACAATCCGGGAAAATCTGGATCCGCTTGGGCAGGCCTCCTGCCAAGTCTGTCAAAGTGCTCTAGAAACGGTTGGGCTTCAGTCTGTACTTCCACAGGTTGACGTGGTTCTAGAGTCTGATGCACTTAGTAAAGGGCAGCGACAACTCTTTTGTCTCGCTCGGTGTATTGTACGGTGCTGGACAAGATTTGACGCCCACGGAACTGTGAAAAAAGGAGGGTTGCTTCTGCTTGATGAGGTCACGGCACACATGGACGAAGAAACGGCTGACAGGATCGAAGACATCATTGATCGTGAATTCCAGTACTACACTATCCTGGCCGTCACGCATAAGTTGATGGATTCCAAGCGATTCCCTAGAGCAATAGTGATGGAAGGAGGGCGAATTATTGAGGATGGAAACGCGGATGTTCTCTTCCAAAACGAAGGATCGCATCTCCGCGAATTGTTCAAACCAAAGGAACCATCACAAGAAACTACCTAGCAGGGTGGCTCACTTCACTGTCTCTGTTAGAATCAGAATTCGTAACAAGCGAGTAAATTGCACGCCGTGCTTGCTCAACCTAGTGCCAAGCTAATTCAAGCAAGTTCGTCCATACAAAACATCTTGGCAAGTCAATTTTAGTTCGAAAACTTTCTTGTTAAATTTGACTAACTTGGAAGTCTGTGCTAGCTGTCCGTATGCATAGCTCGTCGATCTATCTTATAAGAAGACTCCAACGTTGCAGTCATTAGCCTAGCTAATCTTAGTCAGCTCACGCTTGTGGCGCGTAGTAGTGTGAATTGACAGTTTTCTTCTCCACCAACTACTACATCGACATCTGTATTATAGCTCTTTTTACTCTTGTTGTTGCGGCTATTGTCTACCATGCCTGCTGAGCACGCCGCCAAAGGCACCAAACACAGCGGTTTAGACCACCGAAGAGTACCCTTTTCAGGGCCAGTTGCTGCTCCACGCCGTACCTAAAGAGGCTACTTAATCAACAGGGTTGTGGAAGAGCGCTAATAGTTTTAAAGCGTACATAATATGGCTATATAAGTTTATGATACCTCAGCTTGTCGCTGAACTGTCTCAATCTTTTAGCAAAACCCATATAAGCGCTGACCGGTGAATAGTAAAGGGATGGAAACGAGGCTTTTTTGGCGTCGTTGCGCACTATGCTCACGCATCAGGAAAGCTGGCCAACCTGCCTATTGCGCTGCCACAATTGACCGGCGCGCATACTAGCGAATAGATCACTGACATTGATGCTCAATCGTTGCAGAAGTTTGAGATGTCGTCATCAAAGCTCGGTTGTTTAGTTTTAGATAGCGCATATGCTAACGATACTACTATTACCTATCTCGCTAAGCAGTATGGCTTTACTGCAGCTTATCACCGCCTATACTGTGGCCTCGATATACATGATCTCATCGGCCAGAAGGTTACATTTGACAAAAACCTGGATTCGTACGGCAGTCGATGTTAAAGAGCATGAGACGAAGGAAATATCATCAGCAGAATGGCACAAGGGCGGCACGCTAGGCGTACTAATAGACATCACTAACTACATCGATACACCCTAACAGTACGATTTAGTCATTTTCAGCACTTTGCTATTGCTGAAACCCCCTGAAACGATCAGAATGCGATTCAGCGTACTATTATACACTAGAACTCGTATCATAGCTGCTTTGAGCAGGCTCTTAGGTTGCAGCGCGCCGTCAGCAACCATGCCAACTACCATATGCAGCACATGCACAACCTCGATGACATCACCAGACGCCGGGTAAAATGCTTCCTAACACACCAAGTTGAATACGATCAACCGGCCTTACTGCTATAAACTGGGAGGTAATATGGGAGGATAGGGAGGTATTAAAGCCACTTAAACAGGCTACTAAGCAGCTTGAGGGATGCGGTAAATCGAGCATTTTGGTGCACTCTACTCATTGGTACCAGTATCTGAAACGCTACTATATATGATCTTGAAGAACACGTTAAATCATATGATTACGCCAACTATAAAGAGCCAGGTGCTCCTGAGGATCATCTATCAATCAACCTACACGCATCCTTTCTACCTCTATAGCCATCTGCTGAGCTTGCTGCACCTGGAGCTGCCAGATTGTGATAGATTATCAAGGACAGCAAATTGATGGTAAAAGTGATTGTAGCAGCCGAGGCAAGGCTGCAGAAGCAAGAAGCCACTGTAACGGCAGCAAGAATGCACTATCTCAACAAGAAAAAGCAGTAGCTATACACGATACATAAACGAAGATAATGGATAGCAGAAACAATGTAGATCAATTTTTTCACCGCACTTACGCGTGCGACAATAGCTTTTGTGGGAGTGTCCACAGCCTCATTTCTGGTGGGCGGCCATATTTGGCGGGGTGTGGCATTGTCTGAACCGTTGCACGCCCTGACCGCCTACGCTAGTACTATTACAGAGGTAGCTTTTTTTTCTGATATTGCTTTGGCAGCTGATCAAGATCAAATGCACGCCATGCTACATGGTTATGGTGGTCTGTTTACTTTTTTGTATTTAGATCACGCTCGATGACCAAGATTTCTGGTGTTTAGACGCACCATTTGTCTAAGTCTGTCGGTTGTTATCGCACTATCCTTCAAGCCATCGCTTCAGGTACGGTGATTGATTGGCGTAAGGTGGAAATTCAAACATTACATTGATTTTATTTTACTCGCATCTACTGTCGTACCAACGGTCGCCTTGAAAAAAAAGACACCGTACAAGGCCATCTAAGTAAAATTTACCCAGTTGACCAGATAGCCGATGAGTCTTTGAGAAGGGTTGTCTACTAACCTCATAGTGAGATCAGATAGCCACACGAGACCTACTGTCACCAATAAAAACCCAATAAGGTTTCCGATGAGCATTCCTGCACCTGTGCTCATGCCGGCTATGTAAGCAGCCTCGGATATGTACTCTCGACACAAAAGATGAAGGTTCCACCCCACCATCTCAAGATACGGATAGTGAATAAGGTAGAGGGAGAAAGAGAGGGCTCCTAAATACAAAAGTGGTGTAGAAGACAACATTGACTTGACCCGATCCAGCTTGCCTATCGAGAACACGACAACTATGGCACCGATGGACTGCCAAAAGTCTACGTTCGAGCACAGTCTACTTGCAAATCCAAATCCTAACGCTTGGTCGGCCTTCTCCTCTGGATATGATAGCATCCATAGACCTGCAAGAAGCAAAATAAAAGGATAGAATCCAAAGACTGCTCTGCGAAGGGTAGCCATGCAAGCTGATCTTTTGTAACTATCGTAAACAGGCGGAGGGCCTCTAGTGATTGCAGGTAGTAGGTCGTTGCTTCCTAATTGTTGTGCTGCATTGATGAGAGAAAGGTGCATGCCAGACAAGAAGAGGCTGACATCCCATCGGTTCCAAAAAACACAGTATATATTTACAATCCCAGCGAAGATATGACGCGCGAGAGGCCATCGCAGGCTCGAAAGTACGGTCAAGACGGCAAATAAAATCATGGAACAACGAAATTCCGTCTGAATTGTCCATAGGTGAGCGCCGTAGTATGACTCGTTCTCGTTCACAAACAAGTTTTCTGGCCAGTCCCATGCATTTGTCAACTTCCCAACTACAAAACCCAGCCAGTCCCCTAATTGTAGCAACCAAGTGGACTGGTGAATGACTGTTTGGGCAGGCAAATGAGCAGGAAGCGCTTCCATCTGTTTTGCTGTAGGAAACAGACCCATTGAAACTAACAGCATAACTGAGAAGGATGTAGCCAGCGGCGGAACAAATAGGCGGAAAGGTCGTTTTAAACTAGCGGTTGCTATCGAGCGATGGAGCTTGCCGATACTTTCCGGGTGATCAAGAAATGTGGCTGGTGATATAGTCAGGGCGTAACCAGAAAGGACGAAGAAGATGCGGACCATGGCTTTCCCAGAGCGAAACAGACGGAGAACGGGGACGTTGTAGTAAGCGTCGCTTACGCCGGGGATAAATCCTAGCAGCACAGTGCGGTCGAAAACCATAGAAAGATGCATGATGTAGACGATCAGGGCCGCAATTCCCCGTATTCCATCAAGATATAGAGTTTTATGGCGACTTGACGGATGGACAGTGGCTACAGCAACACCAGATTTCCAGTATTTGATGCAAAAATAATGTACAAACGAAGAACTCTTGAAGATGAAACTGTTGCCTATTTTCCAGAACAGAGATACAGTTCGTGCAGCGTTCATTGTGATGGTGATGTAATAATGAAGCAAGTCTGAATTTTCGAAGTATTGATATGGTAGCCATGTCCATAAACATTTTCTATCTGCTGACATGATGGGACTATTTCCGGACATATCCGTGCAAGGAATCTACCGAGTGTATACGCCGGAAAGCGGATATTTCGTTAGTAATCATGCTGATGCGGAGACAAAGGCCGAAGGAGGCTAAGGTTGAAAGGCTGAAGGTGAAAGATTTTGGACCTCACGAGGTAGTTGGGCCCAGCCACCGAATATTTCAGCATATACTCCTCCACACTATCCATAGTTGGCTAATAACTCCATTGTCCAATAGCTAGAACCACCTCCTTCATTTCTCAACCCTTTACTTCTACAGGACTATGACTGAATCCCCACAATACATGCGCTCGAGTTAAGGGCTGCTGTGGCTCTTATCTTTGCAGCGCCACTGCTTTGGAAGGGCCGACTAATCTAGTGGAGGCCATTAGCACGCTTCAGTTTCAGGCTGAGCAAAGTTTCAAGAATGTTAAATTATGTCCCTACCTGTCAGAACGTGGGTATATTTGAGGTGGTTGTGTCAGGCGCTGGCGGCAGCAATAGATTTCGGATATGAGATGGAGCACCCGGATTCTGTGTACTGGTTGTGGTCAGTGCATGCAACAGTTCAGCCGATGCAACACCCTACCAAAATGGGCGCTCACCAAAAAACGAAGCTTTTAACCACCACTAAAACAGTA